ACTAACCACAAACAAATGCCTTTCAATTTGAGTCTGTGGGATTCGGGATTAAATGATTGTGCAGTGATTTGTACAAATACAGACATGTTTGCGAATAAAAATGTTGTGTTCTGCATTGATATATCATAAATTGCTCATGCAAAAAGGAATCTATGCATATGTGGATCAGGTGACACGCGTGCATTAATTGATGTCTAGTTCGAGTCAATCTTGTTCAGTTCATTTGGATTTTGAGACTTCATTTTCGCAGTTTACAGCATTTCACAACGCTCACACACACAACTACCAACGGACAAGGCCCAGTGCAATTCATTAACGTGTACACGATTTGAAAAATTCGCAAATGTACGTCACTACACTGAAACAAATGCTTTTCAACCGGTGTCTGCAGAGTTAAGAATTACATTAATGTGCAGCATTTTGTTCAAATAGAGACATATTTGTGAATACAAATGTTATGGTTTGTATTAAAGTATCATGATTTGTGCATGTAGCGATTAAAATGTGCATTTGTGGATCAGGTGACACGCGTGCATTCATTCACGTCTCTTCTGAGTCGATTCTATTTGATTCATTTGAATTTTGAGACTTTCGTTCTGCCCTTTTAGCCTTGCTCAATCCACACACACACAGCTTGCGATCCACGCGCAGCTGAGCCACAGAAAATCATCGACCACTAGATGGCACTAGCCCCAGTCACATGTGCGCATTCCATTGAGTACGGTTTCATGAATGTTACATTGTGTTTTCTTTGTTTCTTTTTGGTTTGGCTATTCTCCTCTACAGTAGAATACAGTAAAGCATTTGTTTCAGTGTAGTGACGAACATTTGCGAATTTTTCAAATCGTGTACACGTTAATGAATTGCACTGGGCCTTGTTCGTTGGTAGTTGTGTGTGTGAGCGTTGTGAAATGCTGTAAACTGCGAAAATGAAGTCTCAAAATCCAAATGAACTGAACAAGATTGACTCGAACTAGACATCAATTAATGCACGCGTGTCACCTGATCCACATATGCATAGATTCCTTTTTGCATGAGCAATTTATGATATATCTGAGCTATTGGATATGCTGAGGAATTGAGACAAGTCAGAGTCCAGTATCAGTGTGCTTTACACACTCCATCCCACGCTTGGTGTTGTACTTGGCAGCAAATATATTGGTCAGCATCTCAAAACAACATCTTTAGGTCTTCCATGTAACTACTATCTTATCCCAGTTGGTTAAGTTATATTTAGTTATAAGTTAAAACCAGTTAACCACTTAGCAAACGGATGTCTTCTGTCTTGTAGATTTTCAACGACCCTATTCATGGACATATGGAGCTGCACCCGGTGCTGGTGAAGATCATCGACACTCCTCAGTTTCAGAGACTCAGACACATCAAACAGCTGGGAGGGATATACCTGGTCTATCCGGGTGCTTCTCACAATCGCTTCGAACACTCTCTTGGGTGAGATATTATTATATTCAAAGGTTTATTAAATTCAGTTCAGATGAGAACTGATAGCCCTCTTAGCCTTCAATGTTGTTAAACTGTAGAAAGCTGGTTTTAAACATTCAACCGACGCTCTATATATTTTGTTTCAGTTATTGATTGATTGACTATTTTAAAAATATTATTGTATTGCATAATCACTCAGTCTGCTCAGTAAAAATGCTAGATTCAGTAAAAATATTGTTTGTGTATTGCAGTGTGGCGTATTTAGCAGGACGTCTGGTGAAGGTTCTTCATGACAATCAGCCAGAGCTCAAAATTACCAAACAGGATTTCCTGTGTGTTCAGATCGCTGGTCTGTGTCACGACTTGGGTGAGGAGCACTAATGCTTGTGGAAAATTATACAGCAAATTAAAAAACAAAAATCTGCAACCTTTATTAGGCAATACTGGAATCTTCATCTCATATATGTGTTGATTTTATACTTTTGTTTGAAGTGCTGTTATTTTTTTTGTTGTTGTGTGTATTTATTTGTGTGGATAAAATATATAATATTTGTGTGGATAATATATTTAAAAATATATTTAAAAAGGAATGGGTCATATACTGTAGATTAAAATCATAAAGAGGAATAACATCAAATATTTATAACATTTAATATATTAGATTTTTCCCTGTAATATTTTCTACACCAAAATACTGTTTTTTTTTTTTTTCTTATTAGCCCTTTTTTATTTTTATTTTTTTAGGTCATGGTCCAATTTCTCATTCATTTGATGGTCGGGTTATTCCTGAAGCCAAAAAAATTAAAAGATCCAGAGGTAAGTGCTTGTTTGAAATGAAGTCTAATCAGAAAGATCTGTGAACATGCAATTTTCGTACTTGTGTCATTGTGGACATGCAGAACTCAAGCTATTTGTTGGGACAATGTGATTACACTCAACCTGAAATAGTTGACTAATGTAGATATGATTGAGAGTTCATTATTTTTCTTAGGCCTGCCTGATGACATTCCTGAAAAGTGGAAGGTGAGCAATTTTAGGGCTGCAGCAACTGATTGATAGCATTGAAAATTGTAGATGATGAAAATAATCAACAATTTCATAATCGTTTACATTCACTCTTCTGGTCATGTATGTATTTATGATGTCATCTGTGTTTCTGTCTTTACTGCAGCATGAGCAGATGTCAGTTCTGATGTTCGATGACATTGTGAAGAGTCTGAAGGCTGAGAATGAAGACGTGTTGAAAGAACATGGACTGGATGATAAAGACGTCACCTTCATTAAAGAGTTAATCGAAGGGGCAAAAACTTCAGAGGTACATATTGATGTGGTTAATTAAACTAATCGACTTACAGTCTGTAGTGGAAAATGTTGAAGTGATTCTTTTTCATTGGAGATATCACTGTAAAAAATTACACTGTAAAATAAACAGTAATCTACTGGCAGCTGTGGTAATTTACAGCTCTCTACCGTTAATTTACAGCTCTTAATTTTTACACTATTTTACCGTTATTATACCATGCGGTAACTCATTTCATTTGGGAAACCGGTTGCTTCAAACCATTCAAGTAAATAAAATAAAAAACTAGTGTTTATATGGTGTTAGCACAATGAACTTATTTCATTTGAGTCCACTAAGAAGAAATACTTCCTTATATAAAACCGCAAACACTTGCATAATAATAAAGCAAACAAAGCACGACTTTTACTAAAATCTTTGTAGATTGTCATCAGCTAGTAATAATACAAATTCATGTACGAAAAAGCTTAGTAAAGAGATGGTCAGTGAATCAGCAACTCCACAGTTACTGTCTTTAAATAAAGCAGCAGAACGTCAGTGTTTGAGGCTCATCATTGACTGAAGCACAGGCTCTACTCTCCAGCACAATGATGACCCACTAAACTACATTAAACTAACAGATCTCTCTTGTGCAAAAACACATTAATACAGTTTAGATTCATATTTACTCTCCTTATCAGTTAATGACTTTGCATAACCTTTTTTTCTAAGAACATTCAGTAATATTTCAGTGAAATTAACTTGTTTTGTTTTTTTGTAAATCTGACTGTTATGTTTTACAGGATATTGCTGTTTTTTCCTTGAATTAACGGTAATCTACTGGCAGCTCGAGAAGGGTATAACTGCAGCCTGGAGATCTCCAAATGGGGGCTCCGGTCTGCAGTTATACCTACTTGGGCAGCTCTGGTTGCCAGCATGTTAGTGTTTTTCTGCAGTTCGTTGCCGTAGATTAATTACAGTTTATGACTGTTAAATTACGTTTCATGCTGTTTTTTCTTCATCTTACATCT